GGGGCAGTTCTACTCTGTCCTATAGGGTCACTATGAGTCAGGATCAACTTGATGGCAAAGGGTTTGGTTTGGTCCTGAGGCATTCAGGCAGGCACTTACCAAACACTTCTTGAGTTACAAGCTCAAAATCAGTGCCTGAGCTGGGGACCCTGAAATAAACAGAAACTGTTGTCTGCCCTTGAAGAAAGCACAGCCCCATCAGGGAGAGAGGTGCAGGTTGTGAGGGCTGTAATGAGGGCTTCCCAGGGCTGAGATGATTTGGAGGATGGAGTGGAAAAGTCCAAGTATTCTTGGAGCTGTCTTCTCCATTCCCACTTCAGCTTGTCCATCACTGCCTTAATCCTTAATTCAGGCCTTTATTCTCTCCTGCCTGGACTCTGGGCAGCAGCTTCTCAACAGGGCTCTCTGCCTCTAGTCTTGCCCTTGTCTGGGCTTGGGTTCCCTGGAAGCAGAGCCTGATGCAGGGATTTGGTGCCCTTGATGATGTGTTGAGGGAATGCTCTCAGGAGATGGGGAGTGAGGGCAGCAGGACAGGGCAGAGGAGGGAGCTGAGCAAAGGCGTCATCTTAGCTGGAGGGCTGCTTCTGCCTGACCCCACAGCAGGCTCTGGTGCATGGATTGTACCCAGACTCAATCCAATCTTAAGGAGCCTTTCGTACTCTCTCTAGGGTAACCAATTATCCTGGTTTTCCCACACTCTCCTGGTTTTAACACTGAAATTCCCATGTCCTGGCACACGTCAGTTCCAGGCAAACTGGGACAGTTGGTCACCCTAACGCCCATGCCAGTAATCGGATGCCAGCTGACCCCAGGTAAGGTGGCTCCCATTCTTCAGAGAGAAATTCTCTGAAGAAGGGGGTAATGGTGAACTGTTTGTGGCCAACACTCAGAGTAGCTGTGCACTAGAAGTGTGCACTGGCCCAGTAAATGGGACATGAGTGGGCACCAACCGTGCCCAGTACACAACCCCTCAACACACCCAGCCAAAGGCATCCTTCACATAGCGGCCGGCATGATCCTTCTGAAACACACTTCCTTTTCTGTGCAACCATCTGGGCCACCTTCCTCTAGCTCCTCTGTTTTTCTGGGATAAAATTCCAAATCCTGAATGTGGGATTAAGGCCTTCCAGGATCCAGCACCACCCATCCTCCATCCTCCCACACCGCCAGTCCGGTTGTCTGTTATTGCCCATCTCCCATGCTCCTCACAAGCTGCACTGTACTGTTTGTGATTCTCTGCACACACCATGCTTATTCCTGTCCCCAAGCCTTTGCCCATGAGGCCCCTGTGCCTAGGACTCCCTCCTTCATCTCTTCAACCGGGCAATACTCACACAGCAGTGTAGCACAACGGTTAGGAGTACAGACTGTGGAGCCAGACAGCCAGGTTTCAAGTTGACTAGCTCTATGACCTTGGGGAGGTTACATAACCTCTCTTGGCCTCAGTTTCCTCATCCGTAAAGCAGAGATAATAATATGAGAATTTATAAGAGGATTACAAGAATTAATATATTTAAGTGTTCAGAAGAGTGAGTGACACTCTTAGTAAATGCTTAATAAATGTTAGCTATTATTTTCACTATTAGTATTTCAAGACTTGGGTCAAGCACCACCTCCTCCAGGAAGCCTTCTCAGATATCTCCTTGCCCCAGATCAGGTTAACTGACGCTCTTTTCTGCACTTTAATAGAATTACCTGATTATGAGTCTGCCTCCCCAACTAGGCTATGAGCTGTTCCAGGGACAAGACTGGGCACAGATGACCCTCAGTGAATATTTTTTAACTGAAGGAATGAACAAGCAAACAGACTCTTCTTGTTCCAAAAAGCCAAAAAACCAAACCGGTTGCCATCGAGTCAATTCCAACTCATAACGACCCTACAGGACAGAATACAAATGCCCCCTAGGGTTTCCAAAGAGCGGCTGGTGGATTTGAACTGCCAACCTTTTGGTTAGCAGCCAAACTCTTAACCATTGCGCCACCAGGGCTCCTTTTCTTGTTCAGTGCTCTCTAAATTTCTGCAGGAAATTGCTAAGTAGAAAAGCCAGGTAGGAGGAACTGCAAAAGCAAAGGCTCAGAG